GCGACCCAGGGTTCACGTCCAACTTCTAGACAAAAACCTAGCAGCAGTACGACAGATGCAGACTGAGCGCACCAATCAGACGATGGAGCAGCTGATTCACACGACGTGCACAGACCCGACCCAATGGGAAGACTCCCTTCCCTTGATCGAGTTTGCGTACGACAACGCCCCAACAGCCACAACTACTCAGTCTCCGTTCTTCCTTAATTACGGGATAGACCCGACGACCCCTCTATCGCCACCGATAGAAAATCCGGCCCCCAGATCTCAACAGTTCGTCGAAAATCTCCGATAGTCTCAGCAAAAAGCTGCTGACGCCATTCTCAAAGCCAACCAACGGGCTAAGCAGCAAGCTGACCGACGACGCCGAGACTTAACTCTTGCCCCTGGGCAATTGGTCCTGCTCTACACCAGAAAATTGGGAATTCCCCTCCCAAATAAACTACGACCAAGATTTTGCAGCCCATTCCGCATCATCCGCATGGTGACACCAGTGACCGCCCAACTGCAACTACCGGTCGACTGTCGAATTCACGATTCATTTCGCGTCAGCCTCCTACGACCATTGGTTCCGAGTACGACTGATCTCGACCGTCAACACATCAATCCTACGGTCAACCCAGTACCTGAGCCGACGATCGAGCCATCGAAGATTCTCGCTCATCGCGTACGAGGCCATCGAGATACGGCAGCCGTTGATTTCCTTGTACGATGGGTCGATCGCACGATTGACGAGGATCTTTGGGTCCCCGCAACTATGCTCGGTGAACACAAAGCCGTCCGGGACTATTTACACTGATGACGTGTCCCGGATGTGGGTAGTCTCATCCCGGAAGGGGGGGTGGTGTAAGGAAATTCCCTTCTCCTTACAGGGCTCGACTACATCGCGTACGCCCTCGACTCTCGAAAGTCCAGGCCCGGCCAACTTCTTCGGTCCCGAACCACTGACTCCTTTATTACACTACTTGTTATTACTCTGATTAATTCATAACAGGTGCAGCTCAGGTAGCATTTGTGATCAGGTAGACGTGCTTTTTTGCCTAGGGGTACACCGGACGTCCGTTAAAAGGCTCATTAGTTTTGTTATTTTTTGTCTATCTAAAGGCTCGTTGATCTGAAAACACGGCCAATGGTCCAATCAAAACAAGCCCAAACGTCTTCAGCAGTTACCGCATCTGATACAGAGACCTCCAAAATTGCAGACGGGACGTAGTGTACTCAAACCTTGCACTATTGCCAGAGGAACTCAAAAGAAACAGCAACAGTCACCCGTTTTAGACTGGAAAATGTCAGCAAGGTAACCAGACTACTCCCCGTAAATGTTAGGCGCTCAACTCTAGAAAACCCGCCCAAATATATAATGGGATGGAAAAGGAATTCATGTGTACCGTACTGTTTACTAAAATTCCTTGTACGATTTGCTATTGTGCAAGAACAACTTCGTCGTGACATGTGACCATGGACTTCGATTTGTGCTTGCACAGGCAGGTTACGGGTACTGTAGATCTGTCTGGAAGAAACTTTGTCGAGGAAGGGACTCCACTTTGCTGCCCTCCCCAGCTTTCTCAAACTGGAAAAACAAATAACTGCCGGGAAAAGTACGACTCCACTCAGCTGCCCACTCTTTGAAAGCGGTTACAGGTTGTGACAGTTGTGACAGGTCATACTCTGAAAAATCTCTGAATCTAACGGGTTCATAAAAAGCCAATCCTTAATTTGTGGGGCTAGCAGAAAAATACACATTATTTGACTCAAATTATCGGCAACATTTCTTGAAAAATAGGCCCTGGTGCCCACCCCCCTCGCACCCCCAAAGAATTCGACAAGCCCCCACAGCCTGAGACAATACACCAACATCCTCTCCTCCCACACAACCCCACTTCCCCCTGCCCCATGTCCACCGATATCTTTTTTGGCCGTCTCCAAAGCGAGTCACAAGCCCCTCCCACATCCCAGAAATTGGCCCCGTCCGTGATACCTGGGAGTAAGTGCGTGTTTCTAGTAGGTGACATCCCAAAAAAGTGTCATCCAAGAAATGTTGGAAACCCATCTCAACCGTTATTTTGAAACCTCAACGGTTGCGATGGCTTTCCAACATTCTCGGATGACACTTTCTCTGGACGACACCTACTAGAAACTGCCTTAACTGAGAATGTGCACTACTATCAGATTTGGCACACAAATTCTCTTGTGAAAATAGGCCGGCCTCCCCACTCAGCACCTTGCCTCATGTATGATTATGACGTTTTCCTCTTAGGACAAGTATAGTCTCCGTTGCAGCCTTGATTTGAAGTTCTGGTTTGGATCCCAGCCCGTACGCTTCAGGGCTCAGTTCGGTCGGTTTCCAGAAATTTCAGGGCTGTTTTCGGAGGACTTAAGCCACCTAAGTATTGGCCCCAAACCAATCCACAGCCCTGCTTCAGGTGTCCCTGAGGTTTAATAGGATCTTCAGGTGACAAGATTCTCTTGAGAGAGGTGGACAGGTCGAGCTGCCCTAGGAACAACTGCAGGAAAGGACCAATCTTAGTCACAAATTCCCCTGCCTCACTGATGGACTAGGACCAAGCCAACCAATCAGCCACGAGTCATCTTGCTTGGGACTGCGTCGAGAGCATTGAAGAGGAGTGAAAAGGATGTAAGAGGGATGAAGAGGTTTGTTTTTGCTGTTTCAATTCAATTATGCTCACCAGCACCACCACCACAAAGCTCATTTTGTTTGGATGTGTCGAGAGAGCAGTGAGGAGGAGCAAAGTGGTTTGACTAGAACATTCGTAGGACTTGCCAATTCGATCCAATTCCAGCATGCAGCATGCACGAAGATCACAACTTCAGTGACGTTAGGGACTTCTCCGAGAGCTCGCAGCCAAGACTTCTTCTAGCTAGCCAAGTTCACAAGCTCTAAAAGGACGTCGGGCTACAATATCTAGTTTGTTAGAAACGAATCCATAAAGCACAGCAGCACGCTTCTTGAAATCGCCAGTCCGCTTCCAATGCCGGCTATGACGAAGGCTTCTGCTTGTCGAGCGGAATGTGACAATATCGAGATCGAACTCCCCGGATCGGTACTGTACCGAGGCTTTCACTTGTCCAGTTCGGACGCTCCCGCTGCCGCGTTGCTACCAGCGTCCCGCAATGAGTTGGAGTCGGCTTCAGTACGCTGGACTGATCGAGATCAGAGACCTCGTCTAGAAGACGAGGTCCATCCCATTTCCGCGTGGAATGACATTTCAATTCGAGGCGGCTACCTTCAAGCCTCGACCCGTGAGAGTTGTTCGTTGGATAGTTTCCAAACGGCGGATTTGAAGGGGCTTATGGCGGGCGAGAGCATTTCAATGGTGTGCTGCACACCGCGTAATTCTTGGGTGCAAATCGAGGCGGCTTATGACGAGGCATGCCACCCTTTGCGCGTGCGCCAAGCGGACGGCTTGCCCGCTCATTACAGTCACAATCTCGACTGGAACTTTGGGATCATCCCGCAGACGTGCTCCTGCCGCCATGGCGACGAGGTTGGAGTTGATTCGCAGCCTAGCGACAGTAAGCTGTGCGACAAGGCATGCGACAAAGCAGGCGACAAATCGTCGAGAGCGGCGAGCGGGTGCGACAGGGCCAGTGTGCCATCGGAGTCATGCGATAAGGGATGCGGCAAGCACGCGGCGTTGGAGGGGATCGAGATAGGGGGCGCCCAGGCTCGAGTGGGGGAGGTGTACTTGGTGAAGCCGCTACTCGCGTTCCTCGTCGTCAGCCCAAATCCCGAGTCGTCTTGGAAGATCGTGGCCGTTAATTTGTCTGATCCAATGGCTCGGACGTTACTGGATTCGCCTTCTGGTTACCCTGTTTGGTTGGGCAAGAGGCTTGGTGAAATTGTGGAGTGGCTCAAGTACTACAAATGTAACACCATCTGTAAGTGTATTCTTCCCTGCACTCCCCGCGTCTTCTCTCCCCTCCGAGGGGAGATATGAGGACCAGAAATACGGAGTAGGTATACAGTACTAGGTACGGCATAGATACGTCTGCTACGGAGTAGCCTTGCTATACGAACAACTATACCTACTATATAGGCGAGATCCACCTTTTTGGAGGAGTCCTCCCTGCTTCTCTCTCCCCTCCCTCTTGCTTCTCTCCCCTCTCCTTCCTTCTTCTCTATCCCCTGTACTCCCCTGCTTCTCTCTCTCCCCTCTCCTTCCTTCTTCTCTATCCCCTGTACTCCCCTGCTTCTCTCTCCCCCCTCCTCCCTCCCTTCTTCTCTCCCCTCTCCTCCCTGGTTTCTTCCTACCCCCCCCCCACCCCCCCCCCCTCCTCCCCTCCCCCTCCCTCCTTCTCTGCCGTGTCTCCCCCAATCGAGTTGTCCGCCCCACACCTGTCCACCAACTGATCTGCTCAGCACCATCGTTTGCCGCCAGAAGCCCGTCCCCGTGAATGCTTGCTCATTCACTTCCCTTCTCCCACATATCCCCTCTGCCCTTCCCCACTACCCCAGTCGATCTGCCCAGCACCATCGCCTTCCGCCAGAAGCCAGTCCCCGTGCATCGCACCATGGCCGTCATTAACGCCGCCCATGCCGCCTGGAGGGAGTGTCAAGGCCGCTTCACAGAGAGCTGCACCAGCAGCAGCAAGTCGAGCACTGCCAGTCAGCGCATTGGCAATGGCGCTATATCAATGAAGAACCTTAGAGAGCTCGCAGAGCAATCAGCCTCCGCTGCTCCCACCAACGCCGTGGCTGAGTTCGTTCGAGTGCCCTTTGCCGAACCTGGCTCCGCAGCTGCTGCCGAGGCTGAAGGACAGACACGGAGGCCGAATTCCGGGTCAAGAAACGCAGGCATGGAGCCGGAAAGACATGGTCTGAGACGAAAGGAGAACACGATTGGGATTGGCTACAGGCCAGGCGAGGCTGAGGGGGGGGGCTCATTCCAACTCTTTCTTGCTCCTTGTTTTGTACAAAAGAGCCTCTTGGCTCCCTACTCAATTCAATCTTTTCTCTTCCAAGCTAATTCCTTCATGGTATTCAGAGCTACAATGGCTCACGCCACCTCTAGTCGATCCTAACTAGCACGGCCGTATGCCGTCCCTCCTCGTCTTCGAAGCCTAGCCCTTCCTTAAGGCTCCTTCCCGCGCCCCCCGTGCGCCCTCTCCCGCCGCGCTATTCCGTCGCGCCCGCTCTTCCTCCCGTCCCGCGCCTTTTTGCCGCGCCCGCTCTCCCTTCCGTCGTGCGCCTCCCGTCGCGCTTGACGACGCGCTTCTAGCCGTCGCATCCTTCTACTGCGCCCGTTGGTGCGCTCCTCCGTCGCGCGGCCCGTCGTCGCACCCTCCCGTCGCGCCCTCCCGTCGCGCGCCTTCCGCGTTTGCGCGCACCCGTCCGTCGCGCTCTCCGCGCGCCCGACCGTCACGGCTCCTGCGCACGCCCGTCGACAAATTCTCCCACCGCGCCCGTCGCCTTTCGGTCGCCGCGCGCGCACGGCCGTTGGTCGATTTCTCCGCCGCGTGCGCCCGCCCGTCGTCGATTCCGCCGTCGCGTGCACCCGTTCGTCGCGCCATTTTGGCGTGCAGCCGGCCGCCGCATCTTCCTTGGAGCGCGTCGCGCACCTATCCTTCTCCTCCCTCCCCCCTTCTCCTCCTCCTTTCCTTTTCCTCCTCCTTTCCTTTTCCTCCTCCCCCCCCCTCCTTCCCCTCCTCCTCAATGGCGTCCGATTCCTCGGTGGACCTTACCTCCGTCGACGCTCTTGAGCTGCTGCCCGACAACACCGCGGTCAATTGGCATTCCTATGCCCAAACCGTCACGGTGCTTCTCTCCTCAGTGACGGTCAACGGCTACAACCTGAAAGCCGTTGTCCATCTCGAGGAGCGCGGTCTTCAGCCTGCCCAGCCGGATGCTCCCGCGGGCCCTGCACCTCCTCCTCCTGGCGATGCTCCCGTCAGCCCCGGCGATCCTCCAACCTTCGCCCCTGACGTCAACGACCCTCAGAGCTCCGAGACCGCCATCCGCACCTACCGTGCCGGCCTCACCGACCACGTCCGCCAGCAGCTGCTCTTCGAGGCTTCCCGCGCCGAGCATGACGCCGCCACTGCCGCCTACAACACGTATCAGGCGGCGCTCGCGGAGTACGTCAGGCGCAAGCGCGCATACATCACCGACCTCGCTGCCTGGCGTGTCGCTGACCGGCGCGCGCTCACCATCCTCCTCGCCACCATTCCTCCCACCCTCGAGCGCGAGCTTGCTCCCACCTCCTCCTCTCACCTCTGGCGGCTCCTCACTGATCTCTATGATCGGCAGGACGTCGCCACCCTCTACTCCCTCATCAAGGAGTTCCAGAGCCTCACCATGGACTCTACCACCGGCGCAGCTGCCTTCACGCGTCGCGTCCTCGACCTCGCTCGGCGCTTGGCGGCTCTTGGCGTGCCGTACCCGGACCCAGTGCTCTGCTGCCACCTCCTTGAAGGCTTGACTCCTGCCTTCGACACCCATAAGATCGCCTACATGCAGCTGATCGACAAGCGCATCACCCCGGCTGAAGTCGCCCAGTGGATTATCACCATTGAGGCCGACCTCTTGCGCCATTCCTCCTCCATTGCCGCTGTTGCTCAGCAGCGCAACACCAGGGGAGGGCGTGGGGGTGGGCGTGGCGCTGGTCGTGGTGGTGGCGCGGGTCGTGGTAGCAATGGCGCAGGACGTGGTGCAGCAGCCGCCTTTCCTCCTTGCCAGTATCTCCCTCGCTATGGCCCGACGCGGGGTCAGCGCTGCGGCCAGACCACTCATGCCACTGATTCTTGCTTCAAAGCGCTCAGTGATGAGTGGTTTGCCCGCGGCAACACCGGCACCCCCCCCCGCTGGTCCTCCCTCTCTCCTCGCCCCACTCCTCAGGAAGTTCGTACCTCCCCTCTTTTTCAGCCCGTCTCCTCCCCCTTGGCCCACCAGGCCGTCTCTCAGCATCAGCAGCAGCAGCAGACTCCGCAGCAGATCCTGCCGCAGCCGTTTCAGCAGCAGCAGCAGCAGTTCCAGCAGCAGCAGCAGCAGGGGCAGCAGCACCTCTTCTCCCAGTTGCAGCAGCAGCTCCAGCAGCTCCAGCAGCAGCTTGACCTCCAATCACAGCTCCCCCTTGCACCTCCTCCTATGGCTCCCCCCCAGCAGCCCTACCCCGCTTGGACCGCCGGCACCGCCGCTTCCGCAGCTCACCTCTCGGGCGCGTCTCCCGCGCCCTCAGCCACAGGCAGTGTGACTCCTTTCCCCTCCTCTGGTTTTGTTGGCATGGTTAGCCAGGCTGGAACCCCCGCCCCTTCTATGTATTCGGCTGCTATTAATGAGAATGTGATTCAGTACTCCGTCCCACCTCCTCCCCCACATCCTCCCCCTTCCACCACGTTGGACTTTGTCCTTGACAGTGGAGCCACTGAGTCCGTCCTTCGTGATGCTGGTACCCTTCACCCTCTCCCAGCCCCCACCTCCCTCCTTGGTGCCGATTCCAGCTTCTCTATTCCCTGTCGCCACACCTCTACCCTCCCCTGTCCCCTCTTCCCCTCAGGTACCGTCACTGGTTTACACATCCCCTCCCTCCGTACTAACCTCCTCTCCCAGCGATCCCTGCAGCAAGCCGGTATCACCACCGTCTTCCCAGGTCGCGCTAATCACTGCCTCCTATACCATCCCACAGGTTGCCTCCTCTCCCGTATTCCCTTTTGTCCTCTCTCCCGCCTATATACCCTTCGAGTTCCTCGTCTTCCCTCTGCCCAGGCAGTCTCCCGCTCCCTCCCCCCACCTCACATCCCTCCCCCTCCTCTCCCTCCTTCTAACCAACCATTCCCCCCCTCCCCCCTGACCCAACCTGCTCCTGTCGATCCCTCTCCCATCCCACCGTCCTCCTCCACCACAGGCTTGGTCACCCCAACTTTGCCACCCTCCGCTCGACCGTCTCCTCAGGTCTCCTTCGAGGTCTTCCCCTCACCCTCCCTCCCCTCCCTCCCTCCCTTGCCCCACCCTGCTCCGTCTGTGTCCAGAGCAAGCTCAAGCAGCTGCCGCATCGGAGTTCCCCCTCCGCTGCTGCTCAGCCGCTTGATCTTGTTCACATGGACCTATGGGGCCCCAACCCCTCCCCTTCCCGCCAGGGCCATCGCTACATGCTTGTTCTAGTCGATGATCACAGCCGATATTCGTCCGTCTCCCTTCTTCGCTCGAAGGGTGATGCTTCGGCTGCGATCATCGCCTGGCTCAAGCAGGCGAGCACCCACTTTGGCCGCCCTGTGCGCCGCCTTCACTCTGATGGCGGTGGTGAATTCCTTAATCGTCAGGTAGCCTCCTACTGTGAGCTTCATGGCATTCGCCAGACTCACACCCTCCCCCACTCCCCCCAGCAGAATGGTGTGGCCGAGAGCCGTGTTCGGGAGATCACCAAGATTGCTCGGTGCCTCCTCGTCCATGCCTCTTGCCCCCCCTTCTCTGTGGGGCTATGCCCTCCTTCACGCCACCCTCCTTACTAACCTGTACCCCCACCCTATCCTTCCCTCCACCACTCCCACCGAGCTCTGGACGTCGGCCAAGCCTGACGTCTCCTCCCTCCGTGTGTGGGGCTCCAGGGCGTATGTCCTCATTCACCCTGCGGACCGCCCCCGCACCATGGGAAAGCTCGCCTCCCGTACTCTCCCCTGCATCTTCCTTGGTCATAATCCCTCCTCCCCGGACTACCTCTTCCTTCACCCCCCCTCAGGTCGTTTCCTCCGCAGTCGGGATGTAGTCTTTGATGAGTCCACACCCTACTATTCCACTCCTCCCCCCACTGACCCTCTCGCCCCTGCTCCCAGGCCCCTCAACTGGTCCGACACTATCCCACCCCCTCTTCTCCCTCCCCCTCCCATCCTCCCTCCCGCTCCACCTCCTCCATTCCCCGCCGCCTCGGTCCCTAGTGCTCCCCCCTCCTCTGGTGACATATTTGACCCTGACCCTTTTTTTTCCCCCGCCTCCCCGTCCCACTCCTCCCCCTCCGCTCCCTCCCATCCTCCCCCCTCCCCCCCACGTCCCCCTCCCCCCTTGCGTCCCACCCGCTCCATCCTTACCAGGTATCCCCACACCAGGTCGCGTGACGCAGTCCTAGGTGCCCCGCCTCCTGTTATCCTCTCTTCCTCTCCCTTGCCTCCTCTCTCCCCTCTCATGGACCTCCTTTTTCAGACAGTCTTACAACAAAACACTAGCCCAACCCTGCCGTCGAGCTCCAGTACAGCAGCCCCACCAGCAGCAGCAACAGCTGCAGCAGCAGTTCCACCCACCGCAGCAGCACCAGCAGCAGCAGCCGTCGCTCCTTCCTCGCCTTCACCCGCAGCAGCAGCAGTGGCGGCAGCAGATGCAGCAGTAGCAGCCGCCTCAGCAGCAGTGGCGGCAGCAGATGCAGCAGTAGCAGCCGCCTCAGCAGCAGCAGCAGCAGATGCATCCTCAGCAGCAGCAGCAGCAGCAGCGGCAGCATCAGCAGCTGCAGTCCTCCCATTCATTTTCCACTCCTCCCTCCTCGAGGACTCCCATGAGGAGATCCTCAACCTCCACCTGCATGATCCAGCCCTCCTACCCATCTCCCCTGACCTCAGCGGCACACCAGTCTTCGCCTTCTCCTCCGCCCCCACCATCTTCGTCCCCGCTACGTACGAGGAGGCCATGGCGTGCCCTGACGCTCACCTCTGGCTCGCGGCCATCCTCAAGGAGTTGGAGGCGTTTATTGCCAACTCCTCCTTTGTGGATGTGCCACGCCCTCCCTCTACCACGAACGTGGTCAAAGGGAAGTGGGTGTTTCGGGTGAAGCAGCTTCCTGGCGAGCCGCCAGTCTACAAGGCCCGCTACGTCGCCAAGGGCTTCACCCAGCGCTACGCTGTCGACTTCTTCGACACCTTCTCTCCCACCGCCAAGCCCGCTACCATTCGCGCAGTCCTCGACCTCGCCGCTCGCCTCAACATGGAGATTCACTCCATGGATGTCTCCAACGCATTCCTCCAAGGGGTCTTGCGCGAGCTCATTTACATGGAGCGTCCTGCCGGCTTCCATCTCCCCTTTCCGTCCGACTCTGTCTGGCAGCTGCGTCGGCCGGTCTATGGGCTCAAGCAGGCACCAAGGGAGTGGCATGCCAAGCTTGCTGCCACCCTCGTTGAGCTTGGCTTCAGCACCTCCCGTGCCGACCCCAGCCTCTTCCTCCGCACCTCCCCCTCCCCCTTCTACATCCTCGTCTATGTCGACGATATGATCCTCATCACTGCCGACTCCGCCGAGCTCGAGCGCGTCAAGCGTGAGCTTGGCAGCCGGCTCAAGTGTAAGGATCTAGGGGAGCTGCAGCACTATCTCGGCATGGAGATTACCCGCGACCGTGCTGCTCGCACCATCTCCCTCTCCCAAGGCCACTACCTGCAGCAGGTCTTGGAGCGGTTCGACATGGCTCGAGGCACCCCTCAGGTCACCCCTCTTCCTGTTGGGCACCACCTCACTCCCCTCACCTCCCCCTCCTCCTCCTCCCACCCCTACGCTGAGCTCATCGGCTCTCTCATGTATGCCATGGTCTCCACCCGCCCTGACCTGGCATACCCCATCAGCGTTTTGGCCCGCTTCGTTGGTACCGGCAAGCATGATGCCGCCCACTGGCAAGCGGCCAAGCGTGTCCTCCGCTACCTTCGGGGGACCAAGGACTACGTCCTTACCCTTGGCGGCCCCTCCCCTCCCCTCCTTACTGGCTACTCTGATTCCTCCTGGGCTGACTCTAGGCCTGACCGCCGCTCCTCTCAGGGCTATGGCTTCTCTCTTGGCAGTGGCCTCATCAGCTGGCGCTCCACCCGCTCCTCCTCCATTGCCCTCTCCTCCTGCGAAGCAGAGCTGTATGCCGCTACCATGGCTGCGCAGGAGGCCCGCTGGCTCTCCTTCCTTCTTGAGGAGCTTGGTGCCCCTCAGCGCTGTCCCACCATCTGGTGCGACAACGCCAGCACCATCCACCTCACGAAGGATGCCGTGTTCCACGGGCGCTCCAAGCACATTGAGCTTCGCCACTACTTCGTTCGTGAGCTTGTGCAAGGTGGCCACCTCCGGCTGGGCAAGATTGACTCTGCTGCCAATCTTGCTGACATCTTCACCAAAGCCCTCCCCCACGCCGCCCACTCGTCCCTCCTTCGCCTTCTTGGACTCGCTCCCCCCGTTCCCTCGTCCGCCTCCTGATTCAAGCCCTCTAGTCTTATGCATGTTGGGGGGTTGTGTTGTAAAATATATATCTATACAACATGCATGCCTAGATTAGGAGGTGTAGTCATTCTAATTATTGGGGGTTGTTGGTTGGGTTGACCAACCCCACATTTGGGTTGGTCAAGATTGGATTTGGTCCTAGACATTTGGTTGGCACTATTCCAACCAAATGGTCCTTGGTCCTAGGAACCAACCAATCACCAAGCACCACACTTTGTGGTTGCTTGCCTTCCAAGCAATCTCTCTCATTGGTCCACATTGTGGCCAATCGGAGAGCACCACACTTTGTGGTTGCTTGCCCTACAAGCAACCTCTCCCATTGGTCCACTTTATGATCGAGATAGGGGGCGCCCAGGCTCGAGTGGGGGAGGTGTACTTGGTGAAGCCGCTACTCGCGTTCCTCGTCGTCAGCCCAAATCCCGAGTCGTCTTGGAAGATCGTGGCCGTTAATTTGTCTGATCCAATGGCTCGGACGTTACTGGATTCGCCTTCTGGTTACCCTGTTTGGTTGGGCAAGAGGCTTGGTGAAATTGTGGAGTGGCTCAAGTACTACAAATGTAACACCATCTGTAAGTGTATTCTTCCCTGCACTCCCCGCGTCTTCTCTCCCCTCCGAGGGGAGATATGAGGACCAGAAATACGGAGTAGGTATACAGTACTAGGTACGGCATAGATACGTCTGCTACGGAGTAGCCTTGCTATACGAACAACTATACCTACTATATAGGCGAGATCCACCTTTTTGGAGGAGTCCTCCCTACTTCTCTCTCCCCTCCCTCTTGCTTCTCTCCCCTCTCCTTCCTTCTTCTCTATCCCCTGTACTCCCCTGCTTCTCTCTCTCCCCTCTCCTTCCTTCTTCTCTATCCCCTGTACTCCCCTGCTTCTCTCTCCCCCCTCCTCCCTCCCTTCTTCTCTCCCCTCTCCTCCCTGGTTTCTTCCTACCCCCCCCCACCCCCCCCCCCTCCTCCCCTCCCCCTCCCTCCTTCTCTGCCGTGTCTCCCCCAATCGAGTTGTCCGCCCCACACCTGTCCACCAACTGATCTGCTCAGCACCATCGTTTGCCGCCAGAAGCCCGTCCCCGTGAATGCTTGCTCATTCACTTCCCTTCTCCCACATATCCCCTCTGCCCTTCCCCACTACCCCAGTCGATCTGCCTAGCACCATCGCCTTCCGCCAGAAGCCAGTCCCCGTGCATCGCACCATGGCCGTCATTAACGCCGCCCATGCCGCCTGGAGGGAGTGTCAAGGCCGCTTCACAGAGAGCTGCACCAGCAGCAGCAAGTCGAGCACTGCCAGTCAGCGCATTGGCAATGGCGCTATATCAATGAAGAACCTTAGAGAGCTCGCAGAGCAATCAGCCTCCGCTGCTCCCACCAACGCCGTGGCTGAGTTCGTTCGAGTGCCCTTTGCCGAACCTGGCTCCGCAGCTGCTGCCGAGGCTGAAGGACAGACACGGAGGCCGAATTCCGGGTCAAGAAACGCAGGCATGGAGCCGGAAAGACATGGTCTGAGACGAAAGGAGAACACGATTGGGATTGGCTACAGGCCAGGCGAGGCTGAGGGGGGGGGCTCATTCTCTAGCAGAGGTGATTATGAGAGAGAGGAGTATGGGAGAGGAGGCTGGGAGAGTGGAGAAGAAGGAAGAGCATGAGAGAGTATTCCAGGTTTCCAGAAGTCGCAGAGGAAGCCGCTGCAGCAGCAGCAGCGAGAACAGGGCAAGCAACAGGGCAAGCAGCAGGAGGGGGGAAAGCCGCACATGCGGTCGTCGTCCTGGTGTGCTCTGGAGTTCCCCACAGAATCTCTGCGCGACTCCCCTTCCGACCTGCCACGCTCCCCCTCTCTCCTCCGCTCGTCTCTTAATAATACTACTAGTACTAGTATTACCCCTCCTCCCCCAACCCCCACAATGAGTCGCTCCGCCTCCCTCCTCAACCAACCTCTCACTACCCCTCGCCCCACGTCCCTCGTGCAAGAGCTTGCTGCTACCGCCCGTCCGCTCGTAAACCGCTCTTTTTCCATGGTGGCTGTCTCCTCCCCACCGTTGCATGGCTCCCCTCCTCCCGTGCTGGCGCCCCCCTCCCCTCCCCCTCGGCCGCCTCGCTCCCCTCAGCCGCCCGCGGCGTGTTCTGCGGCTCTTTCGCCTGCGTCCGTGCGTTTTGCAGTTTGCGAGGCAGCAACCGCGGCGTCTTGTGAGCCGGCGTTTGAGTCGACTCACGATCAGGAGCCGGCTTGGGATGTGGAGCCAGCGCACAGACCCCGGCACAGGCGCGCCCACACCATTGGCAGCAGCTTTAGTTTTGACAGCGTGGCCAGCGGCGGTGCCTCTGATACCTCCAACGCTGGTGGCTTCGACGTTGGTGATTCTCCAACGTTCACCAGGAGTGGTACAACTACCAGCAGAGGCATGCCTTGGTCGCCTCCCCTGGGCGCCCTGACCCCCCCACCTCACCCCACCACCTCTCACATCAAACCCCCTTCCAAAACCCCCTCCTCTGCTTCCAAAACAGCCAATCCTCCCATGAAGGCGGCCTACCCTCCCTTGAAACCCCCTCCCGGATCCTCCTCTCCCTCTCACTCACCCTGTCCCCCCCTAAGCCCCCCTCCGGGAGTGCTCTCTCCTCCTTCTCCCCATCATGCCAACGGAAGGAGAGGCCACAAGAAGTTGCCTCAGGAATCAGCACATAGATCCCGGCGCAGGCGCTCACACACCATTGGCAGCACTTTCAGCTTTGACGGTGGTTTTGCCTCTGATGCAGGCAGGCTCCCCTACTTTCAGCAGAAGCAGTGGAAGATTGGATCGTCCAGAGCTGCCCGGAACTCCCAGAGCACGCCACGGATGCCCGAAGACTCCATCAAAAGTACGCAATGGGCTGCCCGAGGCCCCACGAACCCAGACTCTAAAGGACCTGCCCTGGATAATCCCTCGAGCCCACACCGAGTTGGGGTCTCAGGTCATTGAACAAGCACAGAGTGACCAGCCCTTAATTATACCACGAGCCCGCACTGAGCTGGGCTTGATGGCTCCCCGGGGTGGGGCACGTTGTGAGATTCCCAAGAGCCCAACCCGTGGTACTGCCAAGGCTGCAGTTACGCCAAGGAGGACAAATGGCTGGCGTGTGAATTCAGAGCGGGTTCCTCTGTTGGATTCAGGTGCTGCTGTTAGTGTTGCTGCTGCTGCTGCTGCTGCTGCTGGTGGGAAGAGTGAGAAGGCCGAGAAGGCTGAAAAGGGCACGAAGAGCAGGATGCTGAGATCAGTAATGAAATTTTTTGGGAGGAGCAGGAGCATAGGCGGTACCAACAGTCAGCACAGCGCGCGGGTTGAATCAGTAACTAAGGAAGGCGTCCCAGATACGACCGTGCATTCGCCATTGGCAGAGGCACCACCTCCAAGTCTCCCGGTCTTCCAGTTCGCACGCTCCCAGTCTCTACTGCACTCTCCGTCTAGCCTTGGAGTCGATGGCGATGGCAGCTGGGGTGGCGGCATTTCTCCAGGGATGGACATTGAAGGGGACTCCCCACTGGGAGGGATGGAACCATCCAGACATCACGTCAAAGGGGATGCTGCTGCTTTGCTGGTTGGGTTTCGTGGCAATGCTGCAGCTGATGCTGATGCTGATGCTGACACACACCCATCCCTGTATGGCAGCTCTGCACACGCTGCTCCCATGTACCCAAGTGCGATGCGCCACAAGCCTACCCATCAACGCTCCAGCAACCAGCACATTCCGGCCCACCGTCGCACCAAGAGTAGCGGCAGTGTCGGATTTGGCGGTTATGGCAGCGGTGGCGGTGGTGGCAGCATTTGCAGCAGCAGAGATGACATGAGTGACAGCAGCATTGGCTGCAGCAGCAGCTTCTGTGGCAGCAGCGTTGGCGGCAGGAGGAGGGGAAGGATGCTACCCAATGATGCGATTCCCACGTGCATGCCTGCGGGAATCCTGTCCCCCCGCACCTCCTCAGAAGAGGCCAGGAGGCAAAGGGTTCACATGGTGCTGATGCGGGCTTATGGGTCGTCGAATGATCTGCTGACGTTGGACCAGGGGGGGGCGTGCAAGCAGCAAGGTTTGGCAGGTTCTGACCACTGGGTCCCGGCGCCTGCAGCGTCTGCAGCGCCGCATGCCACAAAATACACTGAGCCGTGTGAGCAGTGCAGGCAGTTGGAGCAGTGTGGGACGTGCGGCCAGTGCATCCAGTGTATCCAATGCGGGTGTCAGGTGTCACCGTTGGTGCGGCGGCAGCGAGCCCGAGCGAGAGAGAGAGCGGCGCGTGACTCGGGTCAGAGCTGCAAGCTTCCCCTAGGCTCTGACTTGGCCTCAGACCAGCAGCAGCATCTGCAGGAGCAGAGGGGGGAGGAGGAGCGGAGAGGGGAGGAGGAGCAGAGCGAGGAGGGAGAGGAGGAGCGGAAGGGGGAGGAGGAAGAGGAGCATGTACATCTGAAGCTGCCACAATTGCTGCAGGAGAGGTTGCAACGGATGGCAGAAGGGCAGAAGATGGCAGAAGAGCAGAAGATGGAACAAGGGAAGCCACAAGGGCAGCCCTGTGGAGGCATGAGAGGAGAAGCAGCAGCGCAGCTGTGTGCTCTCATGTGCCTCACTCCACCATGCCCTTCCCCAGTTGACTCCTCCCCTTCTCCAGTTAACGCCTCCCCTCTCTCCTCGCAGTCCCTGTCTTCCCTTGCTGCTGCTGCCAATGCTGGCACCCATGAGGAGGAACAGAGGGATGAGGATGAGGAGAAGGAGGGGGAGGGGGAAGAGGAGGAGGAAGAGGAGGAGAGGGAGAAGGAAGAGGAGGAGGAGGACGAGGAGGAGGGGTCAGTTTTGGAATTGTGTGTGCAGTAGCAGGGGACGAGGTATCCGGAATGGATGCAGATGAGGTCTCATGGTATGAGGGTTGTGGAACGACAGGACGAGGAAGGTGCAGAGGAAGGTGAGGAGGAAGGTATGGAGGAAGGTGTGGTCGAGAAGGTGGAACTGCCTAGGATTCGCAAAGAGGGTAGGAATCCGTGGTCAGAGTACAGCAGTAACAGCTCCATTCCTCATT